TGATTGTATATTTTATGCACCACTGCACCAAGACGAATTCCTCGTATGTGTCAAAACCTACATGGCAATAAATCTGATTCTGATTCTGATGTTTGTTGAAAATATAATATTTTATGGTTCAGATCATAGAAAGGCTGTGTTTACATCTTTTCAATTTAAGAATCACTCATTTATTCTATGAATTTAACATTCTTTTTCTATGTGTGTAGCATGAATGTCCTTGATTCTTGCTAATCTTGTGGCAGTGTTAGCATGCTGAAATTAACATTAAACTCAACTGCTGAATATAACCTCACAGAGCAGCCAGTGTGGTTGTAGACCTTTAGTCTTGTTAAATTCAAACCACAGCTTGCAGTCAGTTTTGTTATGTTTCCCCATTTGAAATGCACCTAAACATCATTGTTAAGATTATTGTATGATGGAATTGAAACATTACCCCCTTGCATTTGATTCTAAATTTGGCTTCAAAATCTTGACAAAGCTTTTTTAATACTGAGATGAACCACTTTTACTGAATTAAAGTACTAGCAGTCATGAAGGAACACATTAACACATGTTCAAATTTGAATGTGACAACAATATGGGAAACCTCACCAGTTGTGTGGGTGTGAGGGAACTGAGTTATTAAGAAATTTGACATTTTCACATTTACATTTGCAGTTGATATATTAAAAGCAGTAATTCATTTTAAAACAAAGTGTAGTCACAACTTATTTATTTCATCTGAGATATATGTCCAGTCTCACCTGTCCTCTTCAACTTCTCCCCTGTAACACACTTGTTTTCCTCACACTTTGAACAGACATCGTTGGAGCACAGGAAACCAGAACGGCACAAACATGTTGTATCTGTGGTCCGTGTACATTTCTCAGCATATTCTGCAGACAGACAAGAATTCAAACCACAGGACTTCCATGCAATAACAGTGTTTTGTATTTTATCCATTGTGCAAAATTCAGTCAGCATCACCTGGCAGGTGTTTCACTAGAGATCCTCGGAGAGCAGAGCTACCATTTTAATGTATGTCAAAACTCTTTCATCATTATTTTTTGTCTCACCTTGTTGGCACGACCTGCATTTCTCACATCTGTCAAAGAGGTTATATTGGCTCGAGTAATAGCCCTCCCCACAGGGGCTACAGACGGTTTTTCGTTGCTCTGTGCAGAATGCCTTAACATATTCACCTTCAAACAAATGAAACCATTCACACTCAGTGCCTTGAGACAATGTCATGATTATCTGAAACAACTTATCAGATTTATATAAAACACAATTTATCTTATCATTTTAAAGATTATGTGTTTTACCTGGGGGACACAGGTCACAGCATCGTCCGTTTGTCTTAGTCTGTCGAACCCCACAGTCTGCAGCATATCCTGTAGTCCAAATACTTAATACACATATAACAGCCAGGGAAGAGCGCAGAGGATCCATTATGACCAGTGCTCTGCTTGTGCCCTCATGCTTTTATCCTCTCAGTCTTATGACGTCAGTTTCAAATGTGTGTGGTTCAGCTCTGTGTGTGAGAAAGTGAAGGAAGTGAAAGACCACTTGTCACTACGCTGATGATTTAACAGCAGCATACAGTGAATGACAAGAGTAACTATAGTGTATTTTGTTTTTTTGTCTCTTTCTTTCTTTTTTTAACTCAATTTACTAGATGTTTGTTGTGATTTTATTGTTACATTTTATTTTATGTTTTTTAAAGTAGGAATATTTAGCTTTGTGTTAAGCAGGGAGCCTGGTGTTTGTCAGACAACATGGGTGATATGTATAGGTGAATTATAAAAACAACAACAACCAAGACAGGATCAGCAGCATGTGTCATGTGTTCACTATTACGGAGCTGTCTTCTAGAGACTTTCCTGTAAAGCCAATTGGTAAAGCGTGTGTTGGTGTTGTTTCAGGTTTTGTCAGAGATTTTAACACTTCTGCTGAAATTGGCATACATGCAATAATAAATGCACAAAAGAAACTCAACTCTTACAACCATGATTAGTGGATGCTTATATGATCATACACTACGATAAGATACAGGTATCCCCTTTCAGGTGTGAGATTTGACTTCTACATGGTCCACTCATCTCTAAATTCCAGGATTGGCTACTTTTGGTCCTTGAAGGCTCCTTTACAAAATGTAATAGAATAAAATAGAATACAACTTTATAAAAGAAAAAAATAACCTGTGGTCTCACCAATCAGACAAAAACATCACATTACAGCATTGCGGCAGATTTCATCATCACATCACAATAGTTAATACAACATACGCACATGACACAGTGCAAATTGTTCATGAAGTTTTATATGCACTAGGTATAAGATTATAATGATAAGAGTTACTCTGTAGGTTCGCCCTGAGGGGAGCAGCTTAAACTGAGCATGGAGGGGGTGTTTAGTGTCACCAATGATGGACAAAGCTTTCCTGTGTAGAGCTGTGCTGTACAGGTCATCCAGAGACTTTTGTTGGCAGCCTATTATCTTTCCTGCTGTTTTGACAATCCTGGCCAGCTCGCTTTTGTATGTTAGTGTCAATGTCCATACCAGACAGAAATATTAAACAAAAGAATACTCTCTATCAGTAACAACTCAAAGCGGTTGTAAGACTGAAAATCTGTTCTGTAAACGTGAATATGAGGTTTTACTACTAGTTTTACTCCTGGTGGTTTAATTTGATGGACTACTGTATATGAGGTATAAAACAGGACCACTGACGAGGAAGCCACGAGTGTCATGTTGAAGAAGCATTATGACTAGATTGGGTTTCGATTGTGGGTTTTAATCGGGGTCGTTCGTCAAGTTGGTGAAATACCTGGATTGTTTGAGATATTTTTGATCTTTATATTTTTCTCTAAGCTAAATAAAAAAATATCGTAATTGATTGATCTTTATCATCAATCTTTTATTATCAGGTCTTATAAGTCATTTGTAGATTTAATTAGGATTTAAGAGTATTCAAGTTGGATGCTGCATGGATTCAGAGCTGATAAGATGCCACCAAAGCTTACCAACAGCCTGTTTATGATTGTTCACAAGTAGCACCCACATACCACTATGATGTGCAAAGAATTAGTGTTGTCAGCTTGCTGTAGAGAAGAAGTTTCCCGGCAAATCTAACACACTGTTGAGTAGTGCTGAAATGAATAAGCAAAAACACCAACAAATGTGCATGGCTGCAAATTTTTTTTAATTTGAGGATTTGTTGTTTTTCTCTGTTTAATCTGATTGTAAATATAATATATTAGGGATATACAATTGATTGATTCTCTGACATTTTATATGCAACACTAACAATTCATTAATCATAAAATAACAAAATCTATAATAAAAAGAATTGGTTGCAGCCCTGTGAAGGTGCTTTTGGCTCTAGGGAAACATGCTGAATCAAGCCCACTAACTGATTATGTGTGCACACTGAGTCATTCTGAAAGCTTGCCTTAGTAAGTGATTAACACTGTAAATTTTTGAGAGGCTGATGTTTGCTGTCGTTCTCATATGCGTGGATCGCCTGTAGTCCGCGTCATTTTGCAGACGTGTGTGAGAACCCACCTTAAATCATTACCCAATGCACCGAAACACCAAATCATGTGTTTTGGGGAAGGATTCAGCGACATCCCCCATCTGAATTCACGCCCTTCAAAACCTCATCACACGTGGCTGTACCACCAAGAGTTTTAAAGAAACGTTCTCTGTCAGTCACAACCACATGGTTGCATGTCTGAAACCTCCCTCAGGTTGTGACAGACGTACTGCTATACGTCAAGTACACGTAGTTCTTGACAGTCGTCAGTGTGAATCTTTATTGTGTAGCCACAAAAGGTGCTATAGACACTTTAGAAAGCTGGATTACCCTTTATGACAGCACCCACTCTCTGTAGGTGTTGTGGTGAGGGGTGGGCTGTTGTAGTCGATCCTTCAACATAATATAAATACTTAAGGTTAAGTTATGACCTTTGAAGGCACATCATACAGAACCACAGAACCATATAAGTACCATGTAGTATATAAAGGTAAATACTTTATCATGTTTTATTAACTTGAAGGGGAACTCCACTGATTTCACACATCGCAGTCTGTTTACAGGTCTTGACTAGTGCATATGTGACAGTAAGTTGTATAAAACCTTTGGTGACTCCAAAGGGAGCCCCATGAAATCTGATAAAATGCCTCAGTAAAATGCCTCAGTAATGTCACTACTAGTAACTACTATCAGTTGGTGGTTTATTCCTGTCATTCAGGGAGTAAAGTTGCTGTACTTTACAAGGCAAGCATTTCAAGGTAAGTGTTGTATATTTCTTTGAAACCACACCAACTTCCTGGATCAGCGGCATTTACTGAAAGTATCTACAGGAACTGTTTCTAGCAAAACCACATACTCACGTTAGTTGTACTTCAAGCCAACTTTATTTATAGAAATCTTAATTCACACAGCTATATGAAAACAGAAAAGAAAATATCAGAAACAAAAATGCATTACAATAAGAGTGAGATAACAACTACTAATTACTATTTGTTGTTTTAAAAAAAACCAAGTATGAATTTACCATAAATAAGTGAGGAACTTGCATTTGAGTATTACTAGTAGTACGTATTATACTACTACTTAGTATACTTATTATATATACACACTTTATTTCACAGATATACTGTAGTTATTGATATTTTAAACAGATAAATACAAAGTAGATGGTAAGCAAACACTAGCATAAACTCCTGTGAATGATGTATCTTGATCAGGATACATTTGAAAATGAGTCACATACTCCTTTTATATAAATGTCATGCATTTCTAAGGTTTAAGGTGATATAAAACAGTAGAGGGCATTTTGAGCCATTTTTAAAAACATGACATGCCAATTTTTATAAAAAAAATGTCAATGATATTTGATATCCATTATTCTGCAGAAAGAGTACATTTACTTTTGATAATTTAGGTACATTGTACTGCTAGTGCTTCTCTTAAGTAAGGTTTTCAATGCAGGATCTTTACTTGTTTTTACATTACTGTAGTAGTACTACAGCAAAAGTCTGAATACTCCACCACTGTTTTTAAATGTCAGTTCATTTCTTTTCCCTAAAGTATTCCAGCAGAGGGCACTGTCAAAGGAATCAGTGAGCTGGAACCAGACTGCAGCTTTTCCAAGTAGATTGTAATAGTCACATTGAGCCAGACAGGTACATACACAACATCTCTTATCAAAACACAAAATGAATGTAAACATCAAGGGTGTGCTTTCATAACTCCTCTTACTTTACATGTCTGGGGAAAGTCTCCAGTGAGGTCTAAACAACAATGCATACAAGATCAATCTTTCCAACCGCTTAACTAAAACATAAGAGGAACGATTCAGAGGGAAAAAAAACACATGGGGAACTCCACAACCCACATACTATTGAAAGCATTTTTTTTACTGTTCTTAGCCAGACAGACCTGCTACTAGCGGAACAGAGTTGAATAAACAAAACAGACATAAAAATAGAGAAAAACACTTTTTTCTATGGCTCTCCAACAGTTCATAATAATTTGACTCAATGGTATTTATTGTTACTACCTTCACTATAATATATATTCCATGCTGTATATTTCTCAGAAATGTGTCCTTGCCCCATTAAACCATTTCACATTATAGAAGATCTCAATGTTAACAAAAAGCAAAGAATGTTTGAAAATACTACAAAGACATTTAGTGGCATGACCCCTGAGGTTGTTACAAAACTATGTATATCGAAGTTTGTAATAAATATTAAGGTTACATAGAAAGTGAATTACTGATTAAATTATGTTTCTAAAGAGAAAAATAAACAGTATTACAAACTACATTTAACTACTTTAAATGACATGAAATGTGAGATATGATACATACACACTTTCTTATGATTCACCCGATATTCTATTACCACCCAGTCAAATATTGACAACTAGATATTAATCTTGAATACATCTGCTACAGATAGAGTAAAAAGTTGGTCTGATGTATTTTCTCGTGTAAAATGAACAATGTAAGGAAAACATGATCAGTGCGTAATTATACATATGATGATTATCTGATCTTAAAATTCACAGCACAAGTTGACAGAGTTTAAAGTTTCACCTCAAGGCTCCCCTGGATTCAGTTTGAGAGAGGACAGACTGTCATCACCGCTTTCTTCCACTGGCCTCCGACACGACTCATTTTCTGAAAACAGACATTAAGGATAATTAATGAAAATGTTATATTTACAGCACTCTATCTACAATTGGGCACATTTGATAAATGACACAGAACCTAGAGGGAAGGACCACAGGTGGGCAAATTCATGTGACACATTCATAATTCATAAAATATAAAATACAACAAAAAAAACATTCATATGCAAGAAAGACATTTGAGTGGAACCAAACTTCTCATAAAACTCTGAGCAAGGAACCAAATACCGAACACATTTCCCAAAATGTCGTACTACTCTGTAAGCACTGCATAACTTTAACTTTTAATCCTGTGACATACTTTTTACTGCTGGTTGTTTCTCCATGCAAGGAATAATGTGCAGCTTGCAGGTCACCAAGGTCAGTATCAGCAGTATAGCTATTCCAACTATGAGGAGGGCCATACCTGAACAAGACAAGCAAGCAACAGGTTATTTTTGTTCCTTTTTAATCTGAGATTGTGTCATAAAAAGACAGCAGCAGATGTTTTAGCAATGTAGTTGCCTGTGTTTGAAGGCTGAATTTTGTCCTCTGTAGTGACAGGGTGTCTTGGAGCAGATGTTGTGGTGGTTGTGGTGGTCCGCATCTTCTGAATCTTGGCCCCCTCATGTGGACGTTTGGATGTTAAGCGTGTCATTAGAGAAACTGTTTTGCTTGTCGTGAGAGGTGTAGTGACATAAGTGTTACTCTTTGACTCATCATTACAGACGACATCTGACTTGTTGGTGCCGTTAATATTCACTCCCGATTTACATCTAGAATGAAGGATAAAAGATACAGCTGTTAACAACGGGTACAAACATTTGAGATTAAATGTGTTTATATAATGCATCTCTAGAAAACACTAGAATACAGTGGACATACTCTTTCCATTTTATACAGGGCGAGTTGATATTTGTGCTGAAATATCCATCTTCACATTTTGAACACACTGGAAAGAGAAAAGAATGAATCATTAAAAAGAGAATTTCTTTGACATATTGCATGCACAGTTGTCTGATAGATCTCTGTACCTTTGTCCTGTAGTCCAAAACCAATGTCACATTTGCAAGTGGAAGAATCAGGGTCGTAGGGAACAAATTCTCCACGGCACTGACATTTTGTGTTTGTCGTTTTCGTGCACTTCTCTTTAACAACACTCCCAGAGACTACAACAAATGTGAGAAATATTTGTTAGAGACAGGTTGAGACATGAGAAACAGCAGCTTCATTTGGGGAAAAAGTAGCTTGCTTCTTCAGTACAAAGTGAACAATATAATTGCAAAGTGTTGGCTCTATGAACAGACCCATTAGTAGCCTAATTCAGCTCACACTGGTCAAACGAGACAACCCCCTTAAGGATTTGTTTTTCTGATAGTTTAAACATGAGGAAATGATTAATCATATTAAGTCATTTGAGCTAACTTTCTCAAAAACTGTACAGTAAAATAACTCCAAATTTGACACGATTACATTATCAGGGTCATCTTGAACAGGAAATACACTGAAAAGTTCCGAAAACCTTCTAAATAAAACAACATGACATGACCATTCCAATATGAGGACATTATACGAATGTCTGATTTTTTTTTTATAATATCAGAGTCATCTCGATCCAGATAATATCAATTTTAACAAACCTATTAACATTCAACAAAAAAATCTAATATGACTTGGGGTGACTTCTAATGTACAGTAATGTAATGATACGTTGTCATAATGCAGCGGGGGGAATGGAATGAAACTAAAAAGATAAAACCTACATCACACTAACCATTACACGGTCCAGCCATGTTGGTTATAGACTGTTACAGACTTCAGCCTCAGCACGTACCTGCATCACAATTTCCGCATGCTTTGCACCGCTGGGAACGATTTTCTTCCGGCTGGTAAGTCGTATCTTGGCAGCTGTCACAGCTCTTGCCATCTTTTGCGACTCTTTGACCTTGATTTATTTCAGTGTCAACAAAAACAATGCAATTTAATAACACAGAAGCACATGAAGAATTGAAAGGTTGAAGTAGATCCAAAACCAAAAAACAGCCTAAATAATTATAATATAAACGCCATTGTAGTACAAGAAAGTCATTACTTTACCTTTTGGGCAGGTGAAGGCATCCACATGAACAATGAATTCATAAAAAGTCAAAGTGATTAGAAGTAGTTTCAGCATATTCAACACTTCTGAGCCGACGACTGCTGCTGAATGTGTCCTCAAATCCACAGGATGTAAAACTGACACGCCGCAGGTTAAGATTAAAGAATCGAACCACCCACTCACAGGTATAATCGGGGTTATTCTTCCTTACTGGCTGATCGGTGTAAAGTTTTGCACATAATGATCTTGAAATTAAAATACAAACATTATATGACAGACATGCATGACATTTTAGTAACAAAATTTGCATCCCAGCCACCTATTCTTACAGTTAAATACTACACTAATTCATTATTTGCTGATTCAAACTTTACATTTCTGACTTAACTTTTAACTAGGGTATCTGATGATGGTACTTTGAATCATTAAATGTGTGTGAGTTAATTTGATTGATATGAAATAATGTATGTTTAAGATTCACAACTACTTCATTTTCCACCTCTCCAGTGGCTTACTCCATTATAAAAGCTTTTAGGAAACATTAATGTTATCATTAAGCAGCTTTACCTTTATCTGGGTTATTTTTTACTCTTTCAGGACTTGTAGGGGGAAAAAGCGAAGAGCTTTGTGGTCTAACTATCGGAAAATATGCAGCTTTATATTGTTTTGCTGGTAAGAACACGATTAGTGTCTTACGCATACTCCCAAGAAATGGAAACAACCACATGAAAGATACAACCACTCAAACGCTCGCTTCTTGAGAGCCTCCTCCGCCAAGTTTATGCTGGCTGTCGTTAAGTAAAAAACATTTTAATGGAGAACAAGTGACAGTGTAATCCTGATACAATATTAACATAAACCAACACAGATCAAAAAAAAAAAAAGTGAAAAGTCTTCAAAAATCTACAGGATTTGGGATGAGTCACAACACTACACTGAAATAAAGTAACTGGAATCTTACTTGAACCTGTTCCTGTGATCATGTACAACCACTGCTGGATTCGGAGCGGCAGGGGGGCCAATCGCCCTTCAATCAGTCTGGCTAATTAGAACTCATGTCAGGTCGAAGTTGGGAGGAGATGTGGAGGAAGTTATGAGGTGTTCTGTGGAGACTAATAAGACTGATAAAGGTGATAATAGACCTTTTTCACAGCAGCCATTTGGAAATGAAATAGTAAGGTAAACACAGTTGTTAGAATTGATTAGGTTCCGTTGCAGCCTGTTTGACCCGAATGGTACAGAACCTTAATTACGGCCTGAGTAGCTATCATTGGTAACACCTGTGTTTACCCTATTTTATGTCACATTGGCTGCTGTGAAAAAGTCTGTTGTCCCACCCTAACAGGTAAAAGTAGCTGGAGAGTGAAGGAGATAAAACACAGTCTTTAGTGGAGGGGAACACGTGGAATAAATGTTGTTTTTGTGGACACAGACATACATGATGAGTCAGTATCTTTTTATTTTATTTTACAGAAGGAACATCTTAAGATTGACGACTACACAAGAACATCCCCACAAACGAGTCAGCCGTCAGCACAGAAAATAAACTTTGTATATGGGACTGCACCTATAGGTTGAGGTAACAGAAATGAAACATCAACATTTTCTGTTTGAGTGTTGAAAGAAACAGATACATAAAAACCCTCAGATAGTAATTGGTGTATAGTTCAGACTCAGGGGTTTGTGTTAAGTATGCAAAAAAAAAAAAGCATGGCAGTTTACATTCATTTCTGGTTTGTAGTTCCCATCAACTGTAACACATTTGAACTGCATACCAATGCAATATGCAATACACTAAGCTTTATACAAATCCTCACCGCTAAATCTCAGTTTGCTTAGTTACTGTTTGAGATTTATATTGCTTCAAAGAAGATTTTACTATTGCCAAACTACAATTATTTGTAGATTTGTTCAGTCAACATAGTGCTTTACAATAAATGTTTAAACTGCTGTGATCCCAGAGATGACTGGTAGCCCTCTGGATATTGCACATTAATTATTTCTTAGCTTCTTTTGAGTTGGGGCTAAAAATGTGTTACTCTGCAACTGGGTAGTGTTGAAAGTGGAGCAAATGTTATGCTTCCAAGAAGAGAAAGTATTTACACTTACTTACTGCGTATTTCTGATATCTGTCACTGTTACTGTTACCGTTACCAGGCAAATGATGGTTGTCACGTAAGATCAAGAGACAACACGCATGGTCGGTTGCACCACTCTGCATACACATAATGTGCCAGGTGACAGACACAGATAGACACTGATGCCGGATTTTGTGATGACTAGTACAAAGATATTGCACCTTTTTAAAGTATTATTCAACATTAAAAACATTTTATTTTCTTCATTCCTGGCTGACTATATTTTAAAATGATCTCACCTTTTCCTAAAAGCTTTTGTGTTTCCTGGGGATTTTTTTTTTTTTGTACCGGATAAAGATTAAAGTAGATTAAAAGCCTCTGCACACAGGATGTGATCTCTGATTTGTTTTTTGCAGCAGCGAGATGGAATGCTGGTGCAATGCTCTTCTGTGGGTGTGCACAGAAGAAAACACTAAAACTGAGAAAATCCCAGGAAACTGACGATGCAGTAATCGTCTGGTGTTAAAAGAGGAGGAGAAGAAGAGGTACAATGCAAAAATCAGCATCGTAATTTGCCTAATCATGGGCTAAACCTTTTAGGAAGAGCCAAAGAACATCGAATTACACCGCACCACTGAACAAAAACAAAAACAAAATTTTGATATTAAGGCTTGTCATGACTTTGACCTTTAAATAAAGGTTAAAAAATGTCACATTTTCCACTTACTTACTGAAACTTTTTGTGGTAATGTACCTATATCTATTATAGATATAGGTACATTACCACAGCAAATATGTTGTATTTATAGATTAATGATTTATGTTTTATGTTGTATTTTGTTCCTGTTTAAAGGACAATTGTGTAGGATTTAGTGGTGTCTAGTAGTGTAGTGCAGACTACTGTGGAAACATGGCAGTTCAGGCGAACTCCACAAAAGGCGACCTGTAGATTACCATTGCTCATTCTAAAACACAACAATAATTATATTCAGTTCATTATTTTTTTTGTTGTCTTTTTATTGGTAGTGATGGCTGAAGATAAACAGGAAAGGGGGGCAGAGAGAGGGGATGACACGCAGCAAAGGGCCGCAGGTCGGATTCGAACCCTGGGCCACTG